TAATAAAGTGCTGATCCCTAGAATAAAATATAGAATACAATATACATATTTTAATAAGAAGACAAGTAACAAATCCACAACTATATTTAGAAAGGTTTTCAAGAATAACGTATTAATTTATAGAACAATATCAAATAGTTGTATCCATAACAAAGAAATATATAGTCTCAAAAGTATCTAGGAAATATAATTAAAAAGTCATATATTAGTACTATTTTATCAATTCAACAATAGTGAGGTCTCCAGTTTGGTCATTATAATCTGATTGAAATAGAGCTAGATCAAAAGCTAGAAACCTGAAAATATCTTAAAAAATCTTGTGGATCCACACAAGAAGATCAAAGAAAACCTGATGGCTGCAATATTGGTTCTGTCCAAAGATCTACAAATTATCTTTTAAAGTTGGAAATGGAAGAAAATCTTTAATTATTAAGGAAGTATCTTATCTATTAAGTCAATACTGTAGAATAAAAAAAAATATGAGAAAGCTATTTCATCACTTCATAAGTACAAGATTATGTTTCTAGATCAAATTATCAATACAACTATGATAATACTCAAGGAAAGAAGAACAATTTAGATTCTCTTTAGCAAATGCAAAGATTCAATCTTCTCTTGATACAAAAAGGTTCAAGAAAAGGTAATAAAAAATCATGACCTTTTAAGAAAGTCATTATATAGACTAGACTGGACAGGTCACAATATTCAAACTGAAGCTTTCCTAGCATATCCAGATAGAAGAAAAACATATTGAATAGCCTGCTCTAGTTCTTCAATAGATATATTGGGAAAAACATTATTCTTGAATAATAAAATTCAATTTGTTCTATATCAGTTGACATATACCTCTACTAGTAATCATATTCTATTTCAATCAGATAGATTATAATAAATAAAAGAAATAGATATATCACAAGTTCATCTTCTTCCATGACTAAATAAACATGAAAATTTGAGAAAAGAAAAACAAGTTCTCTTGTCAAGCAATTCCACAGATTGGCTTATAGCTATAAGGCAACAAATAAGAACTCTACTAATATTTAAATCAAAAGTGAAAATCCAGGTAAAAAACTGGAAAGCCTTGCTAATGAGACAAGCCATCTGATCAGAAGAACATATATATAAACTTATAGATGTCTTGAAATATAATAGAAGATATATAGTCGACCTATGGGTCAATAGTGCAGTGGTTAGCACTTCATAGATCAGATCGTAAGATGCAAGTTCAGATCCTCCAGGAGGCAATGCCTGAAGTTTGGAAGAACTTATATCCATTGGCTTAACCAAGTGAGAAGAGACTATCGACGTTTCTATATATAGTCACATGACAATCAGAAGGGGACTGAAGGTCACTCGTGGTATGGTCTATATAAAGATTGTGATCTGAAGATCAAGATCTGAAATCGACTAGGATTATCTTGACTTGATCACGTTACCTCTAGTGATAAGTTAGGAAAAGGTAATAAGAAGAGTAGATCTAATTAACCGGTAGGGTACCGCTGACTATCATATGCTAGGTTATGAGCACGTACCATAATCAGTACTATTGGGAGGCCTTGGTGGGAGGAGAAATCTGTTAATCACTCTGAAGGATCAAAAACTGAATCTAGGATAAAGAAAATTTGACGGCCTGATAACCAGCCTACTCTTAATAAAAATGTGCTGGGAAGAATCAAAAAGGAATTGCACAGTTTTCCGAAAAGGTAGCACTTATATATATAGTATAATCAATATAACTAGCCATATATAGATAGATACTAAGAATAGTTGATATATATAGTGCTTATTTAATGTACACATAGTATAAGAAATAGTTCATATATATAGATACAAACAGAAGATATGAATGAAACATATAGTACAATTACTGAGTAAACTTGAAGGGTATGGGGAATAGCTTCAAGAGTTGAATATAACATAAAAATATTAAATAGAAACTGTGGGTGCATTTGCATATTTTTAAATATTTCCTTTTCTTTTATTTTCCTTTCCCTTTCGTAGTTTCTTGAATTCAGTTTCTTGGAGAATAATAAGTAGTGACAACCTGCTAGCAATGATGGATAAGTTAGGAGGGTCTTTACCCAAAACTTAGTCCAGATCGAAATATTGTTCCCAAGGTTGCACTTAGAGACCAAAGCTCTTTTGAGAATTGATAGCTGTTGACGAGTATGTCAGTACAAGCTTTTAGTTTAGCCATGATACAATTGCCCTATATATTTCTATTGATTTTCATATGATTAATAAACACACAGTATTGGCTTAACCAAGGGTTTAAAAAAAAAAAAAAAATAGAAGGTATACAGTTATTCAGTTTACTTTTTATACTGATAAATCTTATAAAAAAGGGACAAAATATAGTGAGCTTGAAATGGATTTGGCCTGGATTCTAGTAGAAGACAACAAAGTTATAAAGCAATTCTCAGCAAGAGCATCAACATGACCATCAGCAAGCAGGACAGAAATATTGACTATTCTAACAGTAATATATATAGCTCCTCAAAACACAACAGTCTCAATATTCTTTGATTATAATACTGCAGTTAAGACATAAAAGTCTATCAGTTCACAAGTGGAGATAATAACAAAAAGATGGACAAAGACTGTGAATTGACTATTATGAAATAAAATTAAAAACCTAGTTAAAAAGAAATATCTTATCTTAGAAAGTATAAAGGTCAAAATCTATGAAATCGATAAGTTCAATAACTAAGTAAATCTACTTGTCAAACAAGCTAGATGTGAAAATCCAATAATCTGGCATCAACTATCAGAGTTAGGAACAGTTCTTACAATAGCCATATAGAAAAAGCACACAATAAAGATCAGTATTAGATAATTTGTTAAAATGTTTAATAGAAAAAAGATTGAAAAAGATTGAACAATACAGAAAAAAATTCAATAACTGTGGATCTAAAATGACAAAATCATAGACTGGTTAACCTTCTGAAATCAGTTCAACCCATCCAATACCTTCGACACCTCTTTCAAAGATAATAATAACAAAAACTTCTTGACTAACTTGATTTATAATAAACTTCTAGTACTGCAGATATTGAAAAAAAAGAAACTAAATATTTACAGTATATCATAATGACCTGTTCAGTATATAAAATTCAAGAAAAAACATTAGGACACTTGTTTGAATATTTAATTATCAAAGAAATCAAAGAAGATATATAGTAAAAAGCAAAAAAAAGGATCAATCACTATATCAGTAAAGAAATCAAAAACAAAGAAAAAGTTTATTCTGTAACTAATAACTGGATAAATAAATGATTATATGAGATTCGATGATCTGATAAAAACCTTTTCAATACTATTTGTGGATATATGGAAAAAAACAAAACCACTTTATTGAAGAATTATCTCAAAGTATAACTTAAAATTCTCCTAATAGTCATATAGAGTATAATTGATAAACTTTATTATAAAATATGGAAAAATTTCAAGAAGAATATATGGAATAGCCACTGCAAAAAAGTAATAGAGTGGGAAAAGAAGCAAAATATTATTGAAAAAAACAAAAGAACCAAAAGACCTAAACATGGATTCATCACATAGATTACATAAAAATAGGAAGAAAAATCTATATTTATAGAAGATTTGGAGCAAGAAGTCTTTGAAAGAAAGAAGAGAATGAAGTATATAGAAATTATCAAGGATTGGATTTGTTATAAAAGGAAATGATTTGATTTTTAACTACAGTTGAAATTTAGAATGATCTATAGTAATGACCTGTAAGCAATGATTTTATTAATTAGAGGATTTATCCAAGTCAGTAAAGAAGTGAAATATCATTCCCTAAGTTACATCTAGAAAAATAATTTTTGTGATGGGTGAGTTAATATGTGAAAGTCAAAACAATTTGTAAATATCTGTTATACTGTATATACAATAAAGACAAGCCATACTGACCTGACTGCGGGTTAAATAAAAAATAAAAAATAAAAATAATTTGATCATTATATTATGCCGTAGTGAATTATTGGAAGTTACCTTTTAGAGTTAGCTGTAAACATTAGCCGTTAATTATTTTCGAAAAAAAAATAACTGCTTTTTAAATAAAGCAGGCTTTGCGAACGAAAAAAAAACGTTTCATGAATATAAAATGCAAAAACGCCGCCACCAAGAAGCCTTCGAATCTCATTTGTCGGTGGATTAAAATTTGTACAAAAAAATAGTAACTTACACGTGTTATAAGGATATTAATTACCTTTTAACCTAACCTTGTCCGCTCTATCGCAACACAAGGCACAGCGAAATCGTCCAAAAAGGATTATCGAAGCCATAAAATAAAGTTGATCTCTCTTATATATGGAAGTCGTCAATAATAAAATTTTTGCACGAGTGGCACAATCAAGAATATTGTAGTTTTATTACCAATAGAATGCGATCTTTTTCTCTCATATAATTACCATTTCCCTTTTTTTTTTTTTTTTTTCAAAAAAAAAAATCTTATTCTTCTATTTTTTTGTCTCTTAGTTCTGTACCGTTCTCGCATCATATTTGCTATCTTTTTTGTCAACAACTGATACCTTGACTGTTATTTATTTTATCTTAAATATCTTGATTTGGAACCTTTATTTTATTTTATTTTTATTTTATTTTATTTTTTATTTTTTTTCTTGCTTTTACAAGATGGCTTCCTTCACCGCTTAAACTTCCCCCGAAGCAACTTTCGCCGATTTTTTTTACAACAGTAAAATAAAATCTTTTCTTTTACACTTTACTTGCAACCTGGCGCAAAATGGCCGTTTCTATAAAATTTCTCCCCACTTGTCAAAATGTGCTCCAAAAGCAGCAGCAATATATTTGTAAAACAATACCCTTTCGTTGATCTACAATAAACATTTTTAACTACAAAGTTAATAAGAAACCCAAACAAAAAAAAAAATACATTAAAAAATTTCCTTCATAATAACAAAAAGAATATATACAGCTTTCTTTTACTTTCTCTTTTTTCTTACGTATTAGATATAACTTAATTAAAACAAAAAACAATGGTGTCCACTCCGAAAGTGACCGAAAAAAAAGTTACGTCCAACACCGATCAAAACGAGTTAACCTTCGAAGATTCTAAGATGAACATGATGTCCGCATTTTATCAATACATGTACGAACCGACAATGAAATCCGGGATCGCCAATGATACCACCCTTTTCGATGAATGGATGGTTAATGATCTCGAATTTTTCCCAGAAGGCGAGGACAGCTTAAAGTTCCCCGAGACTCCTTCTATGAGTTACGACGTTTCACCAATTATGAGTTCATCTATAACTACCCCCTCCATGGTTTTTGATAATATTCCTACCCCTCAGACATTGGTTGATTCTCCTTTATTTGGATCAATACCCACATCTTTTTCGACCAGCCCAACTCTTGAACCTCCCTTGGGTTTTTTCCCTAACCTTATTAGTGAAAGTGAAGTCGCAAAATCTTTGATTCATTTACCTTCCGTTGCAATTCCGACCGATGATCATTCTATGTCGATCAACATTCCTTGGGGTTCTGATGCCAACAACCCTTCCAGCATTATTAATAATGAAGCTGCGTCATTTGTCGCTTTGACAAATGGTGCATCAAATCTTCCGAATAACCTTACCAACAATACTAAAGTAGGATCTGGTAATTCCTCTCCTGCTGTTGGTACGAATATTACGACACCTGCTTCCTCTTCATGTTCCTCTTCTACTCCCACTCCCACTCCCGCAAAAACTACCGTTGGTCGTAATCGAAAGCGCCCTTTAGCAGAGGTTGAGAAAGATCCAGAAATTCATGCTGAAGAGTTGGCTATTAAACGTGCTAAAAATACTGATGCTGCACGAAGAAGTCGTCTTAGAAAAGTGATGAAAATGGAATCCTTGGAAAAGCAAGTTTCTGAACTCAAAGATGATAATAACGAACTACAAACTCGTATTGCTGTTCTGGAAAGTGAAAAGAAAGGTTTGGAAGAGAAGAATGCAGAGAAAGATAATAGGGTTCGAATGTTAGAGCAACAACTGGCTGAGGCTCATGAAAGATTGATAAAAAGATCTTAATTTTTTTTTATAAGTATCAGTTATAGTCAACCTCATATTTGTTCTTTTCTCCATTGTCGGTATACATTAAGTCATAATCAATTATAATATATTTTTTACACATTACATTTTATGAAATTGTATTTTTCATAATACATTCGGTGTTTATATGTAGAAAACAAATAAAATAAATTTGCAATTATTACTTTGCATATAAATTGAGTTGATTTTTAAGTTGAATGTTTGATATTTAAAATCTTAATTTCAGTAACATACAGTATATAAAGAAAAAAAATTTTTTTTGTAATACCCGTAGCCAGGTTAGAATGTTATTTATTAATTAATAGAATATATACAGTAAGTACACATTCATTCAAGCAGCATGATACATACTACAGCTAATATTATATCAAGTCTAACTCACTCATTATAAGCATTAAAAGTCTCTAAGTTTGAGATTATCTAGGTCTGTTTCTTATATTGTAGGAGGTTTGTTTAGCTATATTCTCTCTTTTGACTTTTTCCTGGATATTTTCCATTTCTAGTTTATTCTTTAGTTCTTTGTTCTCCATTTTAACTTCAGTATTGTTTGAAATTTCAATTATAATTGTTGATTGAACTTCGTGTCTTTATTTGGGATAGTATTTTTTATAAAAGTTAGATTTTCTATTTCAAAATTGTGAATTTTACCTAAGGGTTTTGAAAATATAGGAAGAAAAAAAATGATTTGTGAAAGCATTTTGTTCAAGAATTTGTCTAAATTTTTCTTTTTAGAAAGGTACCAAAAAACTAGTTTTCTTTTTTTACTATATTTAGAATTTTTGCTAGAATACTATTTAGTATCAAGTATTTTACTAGTCCTAATGTTTGATCAGATATGTTTTATATAGTGAAAATATTGAAAATAATTTGAATAACCCATGTTTCTTTTCTCTAATTATACTTATTAACTATTTTTATTATTGTGTTAAGGATATGAAACTCTTTCTTTTTTGCTATTTATATAATTTTTCATTTTTTTATTATCTTAGTTATATATAAGAAAGGATAAATTATTAATTTGTTATTTATTTACTTTTGTTTATTTATATTTTTATAAGATTTGTGAGGTTAATTATATTATTGTTTTGATTTATCTTGTTTATTTAAAGAAATTATTGATTTTTCTACTTATTTAACAGATTTATTATTGATTTTTTTGTTGTAATAAATTAATTCATTCTATTTGTAGACTTTTGACAAACCTTGTTATTTTGTTTTTTTTTTTTTTATTATAACCCTCTGTCAGGCTAGTTATGTGTGCTTTATTAAACAATTGTAAGCTGTACATTAT